CTTGATAAAACATACCAGGATTGAATAAAACTCAATGCTATGAAGGTGGAAAAGGCTTTCAATACTTGGATATCAAATCAATTTTTAAAATTTATTTTAGAAAATTAAATGGTATCCCAACTAAAGTTTTTAGTGTGGGGAACTATAGAAGAAAAGTTGTGGGAACAGCTTCAAATTTGCCCCAGGTTTTTTTCAATCCTGGTATGTTTTATCAAGAATTATTGCCATCTGTTATAAATATGTAATTAATGCTAATTTATTAATTGCTAAAATTATATATTCATAAATATTTATACATATGTATGTGTGAAATATAGTAAATCAAGGATCAGCTGAAGCAAGACATTAAATTGCAACAGATTGTTTGAAAAAGAAGGGCAGGTTGGAATTTATGATGCTATTAATATAATGGAAGAAAGACATAAAGAAATATTATTTGAATAAAAAAATATATATAAACAACAAAAATCAAAATATAAAGACCATACCTCTGTTATATTGTCAATCTTATACTTTATCATTGTAGGTCTTTCTAAACTCAATCCCCAAGCAATAACACGAACATCAGGGTCTAAACCCATTGGTTCCAACATTTCAGGTCGAAACATTCCTGAATTTCCAATTTCTACCCATTTACCCAATCCTTGATTTACAATTAAAAGTAATAATAGAATAAAATTTAGTAAATTACAATCTATTCCAAATTTATTAAATAATTGCTATTTATTAAAATTACCTTGATGATATGAAAAGATTTCCATACTTGGCTCAGTATAAGGATTATAAGCAGGTTTAAAACGTAAATTGGTAACACCTATAAATCATTATATTTATATAAAATCTCACATAAATATATTCTACTGTTTAACAAAAATGTATTTATGTATATTAATAACTAACCCATCTTTCCAAAGAAAGTGTTCATGAAGCCGATCAAATCACCCAAAGTCAATCCTTTATCTGCAATAACACCTTCCACCTGATGAAATTCAGCCAAATGAGTTGCATCAACAGTTTCATTCCTGAAGACTCGATCTATTGAAAAATATTTAGCTGGTTTAAATTCTTTTTGTTGAGCAAGATTATACAACATATAAGAAGATACTGCTGTTGTATGAGTTCTCAAAATTAATTTTTGTGCTTCTTCAATCTTCCAATCATAATTATATCCGATTGATCCATAACCACCAACTGAGTGTACTTCTTTGACACGTTGAAGATAATCAGTTGGAAATTTTGTAGTGATTTCTGGATCTTTATTCATTTTTTTACATAATAAATTAATTAATTAATAGATTCATAAAAAAAAAAAACATTTTAAAAACTTTACCTTTTAAGAAAAAAGTGTCATGAGCATCACGAGCTGGATGTTGTTGAGGCTGGAAAAGTGCATCAAAATTCCAAAAAGATGATTCAACAAATCTATTTGTTGGCATTTCTTCAAATCTAATATATAAGATATGATTTAAATATATATTTTCATATAAAACATAGATGTGTGTGTGTGCGTGCAGGCACAATTACCCCATCTCAAAAAAGATATTTCGAAATTCTTCTCTAACTTTCATTAAAGGATGTAAATGACCGCCTGGTGGTGGTATACCAAGAGCATCAAAATTATAATTTTTAAAGTTGGCCTTTTTCCACTCACCACTTCAAAGCATATTTCAAAATAAAGTAAGCAAAAAGTACACTTGATTTAAAAAAATCAATTAAATCAGTCAGCACCTTTGAAGCATTTCAAAAGTTATGTCACGAGCCTGTTTTTCAATTGTTAAAGCAAAGTGTGAACCTTTTTGAACAGTATAAGAAACAAGTTTTCTATAATGTTCGTAATTATAATAATAAATAAGATATTACATAATTTCATTTCTAATTGTTCTTCATTTGATATCATTTTAAGTTGGAGTGCGTGAGAATAACAAGCACCAAATTATTTACATTTTGATACGTTACGAATATCTTCTGGTTTATTATCATTGTCATCAATGATAATTGTTTGAATGAGGGAAATCTGAAAAAAAAAAGAAAAAAAGCTCCCACCTGGGGGTTCTCCTCCTTGAGATTTTTTGCGAACTTTTACAGTATATGTTATTCCCGTACACATATCGACCTACACAATAAACCAATGTGCCTTTCCCAGTCGACCACTCTGTAATTGTCAAAACTCCCATTTCTTTTGTGCAGAGCGCTTCCACTTATCATATTTTCGATGGAGGAGATGGTCTTGATGAAGCATGTATATAGATAAAAAAAAATGGAAGTTGTGTTTTTTTTTCTTTTAATTAGCATTCTTCATTTGATATTTCTTTTTTCATTGTTCGAATTAGAAGCCACTCCTTAAACTAAAGTTTAATTTCTATTTTAAAGAAAAATTTTTTTTATTTTTGTAAATTAATCAAAATGTTGAAAGACCAAACATAAATTTATTTATACAACCAAAGGAATGGAATGTATGTATAATAAATACCAAAACCAATCAATTCATACTTGTTTTTTTTTACTGATCTGACATCTTTTCAGTATTTATATAAGAACCTCTATCCATTTAAAAAAAATTTGGCAGCACTTTAATGTTAATGTTAAATACAACAACAAACATTTTCGAAAATTCATTTTTAACATTGCAAACTAATTGAGTTTAATTGTTTCTTTGTTGGGAAGTTCAATGATTTTGTGTTGCATGCTATTTTTATCGATCTCATTTCAGATTATTAGTGACATGGTTTTCTTTTTTCACCAAAAAATACCAATAGTTTCTCACGCTAAAGTTATTTTTTCAAAATAGAAAAACTAGCAAAAAAAAAAACATGTCAACTCAAATTCTTTCTGAAAAACTTCAATTTGGAACCAAAATCGAAGGTCATGTTAATATTGACAATGTATACAAAAGAATTTTAAGATCAAATAAGATTCATGCAATTTCAGAACCAAACTCTATCAACTCTCGAGTTATTGAAAGAGCTCCAACTTCAAATGGATTTATTTCTGCTTTTTTTCAAGCTTATAGTTATCATCAACATTTAAAACTTTCACCTGATGATATTTGGCTAGCTATTGCCTTGGGAGTCAGTCAGCATATTAATTTTAATTCGGAAAAATATCGTTATGTGTTTGTTGAGCATGAAGGCAAAAAAGAAATTAATGTTTATGTTGATGGCCTTTTGGATTTTAGTGGTGAATGTATTGGAGGAAATTGGGACCAAGCGGTTCAACAGTTAACTGATGCAACTGATAGTCAAGTTAAAGAAGAAGTTGGAATAAAAAGATTATTGGAATGTAATTTTACTACTACAACTCCTACCACAAAAACTGCTAGTAATATCGTGTTATTAGATACTATGAAATCCTATTTTAGTTATAGAATGTCAACTAGGTGTGGCATTCCAAAGATCACTTTAACTGGTACTCTAGAAGATTGGACGAAAATTCAAGAAAAATTAGTTCAATTACGTAAATTAAATTTGGATTTAGATTTTTGGTTAAATAAATTAGATCCAATTATTGGGGAATTTGTTTCAACTTATAAAGGTGAAATACATGAAGATTTTT